ATGACAGGAGTTATTATAGACATTTAGCAATATGACAGGTGCGGCAGGAAAAGTAGACTGGTCTGCCTCCGTCATGGAAACTTTACCTAATGAAAAAGTGGAAAAGTTTTGAAAGCGACATGTATTAACCACCAGTAGGTACAGGTTCCCAAATTTATACGCCATTTTGATATTTCCTTTGAAATGTTCGGAAAATAATCTCAATTTTACCTGTTTAGCTTTACTGAGTACTTATGAAAATGTTCGGGACGAAGCAGTTTGCTGAAAGACTCATAAGCGAAGTTCAGCAAGTTTCCGAGTTACGAAAATGCATTTATTGCACTCATGGAACATCAATTTCTTCCAATCCCTTTCAAATACTCGGATAAACAACCACAACTTGCCTTACCTTCCCGCGACGTCAAGCGACAACGCAGATTTTTGGTGTTGAAATATTGTCATCACGGTCTCGGTTGCATCAAAAGTGGAGGCAGATATACCCGCCATGTTGAATTAAATCAAATCCTTCAACGGTTTTTCCTCACTGCTTGAACCCCATATACTCTAAAGCCAATCGGATTCTTTGAGATCATACGTTAAGCGTCCACACGGAGCGACTCTCCCAGCTATTTCTAAAAGTCAATCTCTCGTTTGGGATGTTACGTGTGCCGACACCCTTTGTCCTCAACGTTCTTGTCCTATAGTGTAATGAGACCAAGGAGTTGACAAGTTAATTGGAAACAAATTCTAGAAATGATCCGTTGGTTAGAGAGCAAAACTTTCTATTGCTAAAGAATTTCAATGGCAATTAAAAAACAAACAAAAGGTTTCTACTCGTAGGTGTTCTACCAGATCATGGTTAAGAATAAAGAGAATATTACAACTGGTATTAATTGAAACATAGGCGCGGTATTCTCTTGCAATTCTTTGGAATTATGTGGTATGTCATGACTCATGATATTTAGCTATTATATGCTAATAGTGGGGTATTCTGTACCTAATAGTCTTCTTTATTACTTAGATGAGATTTCCGTTTAATCGTTTAAGTGATTATAGTCTCCGATTTCTATGGAGAACTGTCAAACGGATGTGAAAGTTCTCGCAATTTCCTCATCTGTGCAACGACGGGGTGAGAATGAAGCAAATAGAAAAGTACAACTTATCAGATCACTCTAAAATGAATGTAACTTATAGCAAAGAGATGGTTACTCTTTGCTTATAGGTATTTATCCCTACACCATTGCCTACAAAAAGTGCACTAATGTGCCTATCCCGGCAATAAGTACCTGTAGGCTGTATAGGTCCTTGTTCCAAAAAGAGGTTTTTAAAAAGTTAGAAGTGAAAATATGCATGTTAAAAGAAACCTCCAGTTCAATCAATCTCGAATACTGTAAAATGAGAGATCGTAAATTTTATCGGGAAAGTCACGCGCGTCTTGAAAATCTCTGCAAAAAAATATAATAGCAAGATAAATCTTATCCTGTGAAGTTGCCCGCGGTAAGCAATTTGGACGATAAGTTCATTACAAAGTGCTAACTAAATAAAAAATGTTCAAAGGTTAATGAAATATTCAGTTAAACCAGTTCAGAAAGTTGAAAATCGCAATTCACATCTGCCCATTTCCACATTTAATATTTTAAGCTGCGACCATTTTCACTTCGAACCGAGTTTGACCTTTCGAAAGTATAAATACCTAGCTTTTAAAACTTTCGGAAGTGCAATAAAGGCACACTTAAATACCTTATTCAAATTTTCCGTTTAAAGGATTTCTAAATCGCATTTTTCATAAATCAAGGGGTAAATTGTGCGAAAGTCATATATGTATAGAAAAAAGTATTAAATCAATGTGGCGTATTCGCAAATTCATATTATATGACCCATGCATTTAGTTATATCCCTAGAATTATATATGTAGTGTCAATTCTACGGAACTAAACCCTTATTTTTTGGAACATGCTATTTTCGACAACCTCACCTCTTCGTTCAAGCGGCCAACACTGAAACTTCCAACACGCGTTCCAAACACCTTTCACCATTTTTAGTCTTTTCAGATCGTTCAGATATCCAACCAGTCAGAAGAACTGTATGCTCTTCATTGGTTTAACTCCGTTCGGTTCCCCGTAAATGTAGTGCTTTTTCACTATACCTACGTAATTCTTTCGCCGCCTTTCGAAACTGCTGAATCAATGGAATCAAAAACCTGCAACGCTATTATAGCTCGCCTAGCTGGCACAAACTCGTTTACGTCGCATTGAATACCTACGCCAGGAGTGTACTTTTCGCCCCTCACAAAATCAACGCGTATCATATTCAAATGGACCCCTCCTACTCGTTTACATTGTCCCACTTTAGAAAATGCACATAAAAAAGTAAGCCAGCCGGTAAACCTCAAAGATTGCTCGCCCCCTGATGATGACTGGAAAATATGTAGAGGTGAAGCTCGCAAGGTTGGTAGCCTTTAGTGCTGACCTATAGAACTTAACTAAAGGTGAAGTTCAAAGATCACTCCTGCTTCTGCCCATTTCATTGTCATTGTCGTTCTGAGACATATTTTGAATTCAAGGACTCTGACCTTAAAAAGCAGATCAAAGTGAAGGTGTAACGGTCACCCGCCTCTTGGTGATGGCTTTAGAAAGTTGGTGAAGGTGAAGCTCAAAGCTTGCTAACTCCTGGTGGTA